CTAACACCGTCCTCCCCTGCGGCCCCCAAGCCTAACGCCATCCTCCCCTGCGGCCCCCTAGCCTAACGCCATCCTCCCCTGCGGCCCCCTAGCCTAACACCGTCCTCCCCTGCGCCCCCCTAGCCTAACACCGTCCTCCCCTGCGGCCCCCTAGCCCAACGCCCACCTCCCCTGCGGCCCCCTAGCCCAACGCCGTCCTCCCCTGCGGCCCCCTAGCCTAACGGCGTCCTCCCCCTGTGGCCCCCTAGCCTAACGCTGTCCTCCCCTGCGGCCCCCCAGCCCAACGCCGTCCTCCCCTGCGCCCCCCTAGCCTAACGCCGTCCTCCCCCTGTGGCCCCCTAGCCCAACACCGTCCTCCCCTGTGGCCCCCCAGCCCAACACCGTCCTCCCCTGCGGCCCCCTAGCCTAACGCCGTCCTCCCCCTGCGGCCCCCTAGCCTAACGCCGTCCTCCCCTGCGGCCCCCCAGTCCAACGCTGTTCTCTCCCGTGCCCCCCTTTCCCAACGCCGCCCTGCCCTGCCCCCCCCTAGCCAACGACACCCTGCCCTGCGCATCCGTCTGCCCCCCCCCTGCCCAACGCCGCCCTCACCTTCGCCCCCCTCGAACCAACACCCCCCTTCCCTGCGCCCGCCTAGCCCAACACTGCCCTCCCATGCGCCCTCCTAGCCCAGCTTCGCCCTCATCTGCACCCGCCCTGCCCAACGCCACCCTGCCCTGCACCCTACTTGCCCAGGGGAGGGCGGCGCTGGGCAGGGCGGTTCAGGGCAGTGCAGGCGCGGGGTGGGGCGGGAATTGGAACAGGGCAGAGGTGCCACCCACGTTCTTGTGGGTCTGGGTTCAATTCCCAGCTGTCCCGTACTGACCCATGATACATACACACATTTGTACGAGAATGCATGAGCACACGGATGGTGGGGCACACACATTCACACGCAAAGGAAGGAGGGAGGGAAGGAGGGAAGGCCAAGGGAATGCAGGGGACAGCAGAGGGGAAGGCACAGGATGGCAGAAGGGAGGGCAGATGGAAGGGGAAGGGAGGATGATGGGAGGGAGCGTGGAGGGAAGTGGGGGGCCCCAGTCCGGGGGTGGCAAAACGAGGGGGGAAAGGGGGAAAACGCGGCAGGGTGGGTTGGTCAGGAGGGCGTGTGTAAGGGCATGACGGGGGCCCCCTGCAACCTAGGCGACGCATTCGTTGGAACGTCATCATGGCCGCAGTCCGGGGATG